ATTGACTTACCACGACTGCTTTATCAGATACTCCAAATACATGATTATTAGGTGGAGCAACAATCTGTAAAAAGTGAAAATGATGCAGCAAGCAGAACTTATCTAACAGCAAAGTATAGGTGCAAACTATACCGATTTTTGTGCCCAAGATGGAGCTTGAGGATAAGGCGACCCAAATGTGTTCGGCGCTAAATATAAGAAGCCTGTTGACTGATTTTGAAATAGTGTCGAGAATGAAAGAGTGGAATCTAACCTTGAGGTGAAATCTTTTGCTGTTGTTGACCAAATGGCGCAGTAGAATTCCAAGCTCCTTCAGGACGAAAATCTCTGTAAAAGAAAAGACTCAAGGGCATGGAATAGACGTATAAATTCAAATGGACTATAAATTACGTCCCCTTAGCACCAAATTTCCAGTGCTACACAATATATGCTAGAACTTCACCCAGCAGTGGCCATCCGAACAGGAAGGCATTATTTGAATAGATTTCATGCTCATATGTGTATTACACCAAATAAAATAAGCACAGTAATATCCCGTCTACTCATATACGAAACAGCGCAAACTAACACATATCGTAATTAAATGGGTGTACAGCTCGGCCAAGTGAAGAAGGCAGTAGATAAGGAAGCTTCTGAAACTTCTAACCTATATAGTGCAGTGAGTCGATCGATGTCTGGATCATTGGCGTCGGGAGGAGAACGTTGCTCCAGCTTCAAGGAAGCCAGATCCAGATTGCTAAGGTTGCTCAGCGTAGGGTTCATGATGCGCTCGCAATGATATGGATTGACGCACACCTTTAAAAAAAGTACATAAGATTTTGAAAAACTGCTCATAAAAATACGTCGAGAACTGCCGATAATCCTTACAGAATCACACTTCAGGTCGAAAGCGCACTCGCAGATGCTAAGATGCCGCAGCTCGTTTTTGTGTAAGTCTGGCCAGCGAAACACACGTGCATAAACAACATGAGGAAAACCTTTTCGACCAGCCACCTGAAGTTTTACGTTTGAGAATGGAGTTTACAATAATTCGCAAGCACAATTTTGATGGTTTCGCCAGTTTTTTCTTTGCTTTACTTTTTTGAGAGTTTCTATTAAACTTTGCTCTTAGTGTAGAAAACAGAACGAGCCAAATGATTGAAAAGTTTTAAGAAATTGGTGCAACAACTCTGCGTTTAAAGATCTTAGCAACCATCAGTAAGTCGCACTGCCATTGTGCCTGCAGCACAGCTCCCTTGCAAAACAGAGCTCAATCGAATATCTTGTTTCGAAAATCTAGAAACTTTTAGCTCTACTATGTGATTAAAGCAAATACACAGACTCAAAATTACGGACAGCAAACATAAAGCTTTCCATAATTTGAAATCACTGGACGTACGCTAGCTAAC